GTAGTACTGGTAGTACTGGTAGTACTAGTACTAGTAGTAGTAGTAGTAGTAGTAGTAGTAGTAGTAGTAGTACTAGTAGTACTAGTAGTACTAGTAGTCCTAGTACTAGCAGAAGTACCAGTAGTACTATGGCGAGACTAGCCACAAAAAAATTGCCAATATAGTGTAGCAGTAGTGTCGCTGGAGCAAGGGCGGCAGCAGAAGCAGTTGTTGTGTTGTCCGGCACTACACGTCGCCAAAGTTGGAACACCACAGGTCGTCTGGTCTTGTAGTAGTTCCCGTGCTGGCATCAACGAGTACGAGAAGCAACCGACAGCAGCAGCCAGTAGGGTACGGTACTCTAGTAACACTGGTAGTTGTGAGAGATTCCAATAAAGTATTGGCGCTAACGTCTTTCTTAGTCGAGTCTAGGACAGGAGCAAAGCAAGCAGAGCAGTAAGTGGTTGTATCGGCGGCGTTAAAACATTTATTACTCGATCCCCAGCCTTGAGCTTCACAGGCCACGACAGGAAAGCCTTCTTTCCTTTCAAGGTGAGCCTTTCAAAAGCCTTCTTCGCTTCGGCACCCAGCATCTCGGCCAGAGATTGGCCTGCAACACAGAAAGCAGAAGCCTAGGGAAAGTCATTGTCCCAGGGAAAGGTGGGTACTGCAAGTCCTCTTTTACCAGACGTTAAAGATCCCAGAAACCTTGAGCAAGTGTCCTGCGACATCATCATCGCAGAGGTTCTGCACGGCGTCTGAGACCGTCAACAGGTCCTCTGCCAACAAAATCTGCACGAAGGACTCTCTGTCTGACCTCGGCGAAAAAAAAACCACACGAAGAACACGGATTCGAGAGAGCAAAAGAGAGTGACATCGAGAGACTACAAAGAAAGAGAAAGAGAGAGAGGTCTATATGGATTGGGAGACAGGGAGAGAGAGAGAGAGAGAGAGAGAGAGACAGAGATAGATAGGGCGAGACAAGGAAAATAATGGAGATAGACATAGATAAGGACGGAAAGATGGGCAAAGACAGAACACTATCTGAACAAATGAAACATTGACAAAGCCACGGAGGGACCAAGCGACTGAGAGCAGAAGATATCAGAAGAAGTCGCGGCTAATCCGCGGGGAAGTCTTCCAGGAGGAGAAAATCGCACAAACATACGAAGCCTAAACTAAATGCTACCAGGACCTCGGTACGGTCCGAGGGACATAACAAGAATAAGACTAAAGGTTATGGAAATTGGGGTGGGGCTCGCAACTGAATCCTGTCTTGCTTCATCTGACATCAGATATGGATCAGTTGACCCTTCTCACACGAACTTGACTGAATGTGGACTTGAGGCCTGGCTTTGGGGGCTTTGGTGTTGGCATTTCTGCCAAGCTGCTCGTTCAAGCTTGCAGGAAGCAAGGCTTGGAGGGCCGGCTCGATCTGCAAGGGCATGTCCAAGACCGCCTCCGGCGGAGGCTCCCGGCTCTGCTCCTGCTCCTTGTCCTTGTCCTCGGCAGTCGCATCCTCCTGCTCGCTGGGACTTTCGTCCTCCAAAGCAAACGGACCTGAAGCATCCTTCAAGGCAAGAAGAGAGGCTTCGGGCACCTTGGGCATCGAAGGTGTGCCATCCTGCAGCTGAAGCTGCTCAGCAGGCTTCGCCTGCTGCCGCTTCTGACCCCTATAGTTGTCTCTGAAGACATCATCATCATCATCATCATCATCCTCGGAATCAAGCGGAGTTTCCTCGGCACGAGTCGACTCGGGAAACAGCTGCTTGGGCTCGAGAAGCCTGCTCCTTTTGCTGCAAGGAGTAGGCTTCTGTTCGCTCGAAGGGGTCGGCGTCTCGGGCGCCTTGGGCTCAGACTTCTGAGAGAGCTTGAGGAGCTCCTTCTGCGAATCCTGCAAAGGCATGACAGGACAGACTGCTGACTGAACTTCCGCACAAGTAAAAGGCACAGGCGTGGTGGCAACACTGATGTGCAGCAATGTTTTGGAAACGGGCCAGCACTGTCCTGACGGAACGTGCTCAGGAGGTCGTCGTAGACCTTGATCAAGTCTTTCTTCTCCAGTGTCCTCTGCCTGACAAGGGCAACTCGCTTCGACAATGCCTTGGGCCAAGAAAAGTCACAGAGCCTCATGTAGCTCTTCATGAGGCTCTGCAAATGCATGGTGATGTCGTCCATCGTCTTGGCCGACGAGATGTTGATGCCGGTCAAAGACTTCCCAGTCACTCAGCTGTGGCAGGTTCAATTCAAGGACAGCGCAAAGCTGATGGCTCTGCCAAGCAGGCAAGGTACCCGCTGAGATGAGCTTGCCCAGGCGCTTCCGCCAAATCAAGGCGACGGCACTTGCCTGGTTGCATGCTACAGAAAGTCATCCAGAACCAGACCACAACAAGGCAACCCACAGAGAGGCAATGATTCATGAATCAACCTCCTGTTTCAAGTTGCAGCTATCCTGGCCTGCTGTGTCTGGCTCATTTCCTCCTGTTTCATCCGCTGCTTCCGGTACCGAAGGGCACTGGAAGTGAGGACAGCCTCCTGAGGTTCCCTACTGATGTTTATCTCCCGAACTGTAACACACATGCATACATGCACACATAC